ATCAATCAATATGCCATTTCCAACTTCCTACAAACAAATCCAGAAAACGTATTTCCCAACAAACAGCATGATTGTGTTCTCTTGGATGGGTTCGAGGAGACTTCCTTCGCTCACGTTAAATGCTTTGTATTGGAAATCTATGTGCTCCTCATCGTCCAATCTCGCCGTTGCCATCCCACTGAAGGCTCTGGTTCCACTAACGGATTTGACGAACACAACGGCAGTCAATATTGCAGACATATTGTATATTAGTAAAAAATTAGTTTATTTTTAAAAAATGTAACGGTAAGCAAAAGATTATTTTACTTTAAAAAATGTAACGGTAAGGTAAGTAAAAGACTATTATTATTATTTTGGTCACGTAGACAAGCAAAGATAGGTCACGAATCAACAAAAACAGGTCATTTATATAGCAAACATTCATTATTTTTTATTGATATCGCATAGTAATAGTTTTTTACATATACTGCAAAGTCCTTTTGAAAAAATGCATGTAAAAAACAGGAACTGGTTGTTAGTTGTTATTAAAAACCCAACCAAGGCTTTTTTGAAAGCGTGGATAATTCGTGATTAATTCCCTTATTGTTATTGACAAACCAATCAAGACTTTTTTGAAAGTGTAGAGATTTTGGGTCTTAAAGGAAACAGGATGATTCACGATTAATTTTTTCCTTGTTAAATGCTAATAATAATAATAGAACAATGCATTTCTTAAAGTAAATTAGACAAAAAATTCATACCGTTTTAATTAATAATATCAATAGCATGATCTTCATCACACTAACTAAATACTAAAAATAAGAAAGATGCTTGCCGCCACCAAAAAAGCATTCTTTGAAACTTGAAACTAAACAGCTTTTTCTTAAAATGCAAAATAAACAAAATTCATTCTTACCAAAACAGTTCTCTTCGGATTTTATCGCACGACAAACGTTTATCACGTGGAAAAAAGGCATTTGCATTGAAAGAATCACGTAGATCAAATTTTCAGAAAAATTTTTTTTTGAAATTTACCACCCAGCGAAAACAAAAAATTCCTTCCCAAAAAATTAGGTTTAAAAAACATAG